TGGTTAAGTGAGGAAAACCCATAGATGCCCCCATCCATGCTCAAAAGCATTAATGGATGAATCTTGCATTGACAACTATTGTGTTCTGACAGCTGGTACCTGCGGCTGTCATTATACCCAATCAGTGACTGTAGCTGATTTGATGCAGGTGCTGTCTGGCCAACTTTTTCCTGCCTGGCTCCTTCAATTTCTCAATTGAAGATTGTCAAGCTAGCTCGAATTTTGGACCATGGCTCAAATTTTGGGCAAAATTCAAGCAAAGTATGGTAAGCTTTAGCCATGACAGACAAGTCAGACCTGACAGCAAAGTGAAATTAGTATCACTGGGGCCCAAATAAGGACACAGGTAGGCACTGTGTGGTGAAAGCATTTATCAGCATTTCAATGCCGACTGTCCTGTACTGAGGATCCTTCATAAAAATTAGGGAAGTTGGCTAGATATGGGTCTTCATATTAGGATCACACAGACCTGAAAGGAAACATACGGTTAGAACCCTGTTCATTATAAGTTGGTATTTCCTATACACACCTAATTGAATATCATATCAGGCTTATATTGAGAGTACCATACATGCCTGCTGAAATGATAGAGGAGGACAAATACAGGCAGAAGGGGCAAATGTTTATATCATCATTTTCATTCGTTAAAGGTTCTGTATGTTTTATGTTTAAATATTAATGAACAATTGGATAGCATATGTTTCAGAAGGTATATCGTGATGCAGAGAAAAATAACTACAGCTTCAAAAATAATGACGGAAACGAGAGCCCATAACAAGGTCCTTCTTTTAATGTGGTGCAAGACTTTGAGGATGAAATGACAGATTCAATATATACTAGTGCTGTGCAATCCTACCTACCCGGTAATTACTAGAACCTTTTCATATTCTGCACTCTGAATCACTTAAGAACACTCAGTACATCCTGCGTACATCCTGCGTAGTTTATGATGTTTGTTTTTGTGTAATAATTGTGTAGATTTCATTTTTAAAAGTGTTTAATACCCTTTTGTAATTGTTAATCAAATATTAAGCACTTAGGGACAGTATGTAACCTACTAGCTCTGTGTTTTTTGACTCCTGGGTACATTAACTATAGAACTTACAAGTGGAATTAAACTATTAAAAACTGCAAACAGGCAGCTCTTTTTTGCAGAAGAGAACGGCAATGTCTCTTCTGTAATAAAAAAAAAACACTTATCTGCCTCCTTGCAGTCTTCTATTGAATGCACACTGAGGATGGCGTGAATCAAGCACTAGCTAAAAACCTGGTATCTGGAAGTAGCCGGGGAGAAAATGATGGCGGCCAGTAAGGGATGTAACCGCAAAATCACTGGAAGGTGGAGGTGAGTCTTTCAGCGGGTTAGTTTCTCTTTAAAGCCCAACTGAAGTCAAAGGTTTTCAGGTAGACTGCTATTGTAACAGTAACTTTCATTTTCATAGACCACATTTTCAGGTGGAACTGTGTTTTCTAACAGACATGATCAGAAATACCTCATCTTCCCCAGCACTTCAGCCCTGGTGCACACTGATGCGGTACAAAATTTTCAGCGTTTTCTGTATGAATTTCATACTGCATCAGAATTGCACCCCATTCATGCGAACTGCTGCGGGTATGTATGTTACCTTAACAACACCCCGCAATCTGTCTGCAAAACGCTGTGCGATGTGCAGAATCGGATCACATATGTGTGAATACCCATACAATCCGATTCTAGTGCGGACCAAAAAAAGGGTCCTGCACCTTTTTGGTGCGGGTGCGGTGTGATTAGAGCCATACAAAAAGTATGGCTCCAGTCGCACCGCATACAAATCGCATGTAATTTGCACAGGAATACGGTGCGGTTCCTGTGCGAAACACATGCAATATACCGCACCACATATATATGAACCCAGGCTGCGAGTGGAACTAAACAGTCTGATACTCATCTCCTCTCCAGTGATGCAACGTCTGTAGGCTCCCTCATTTACATAGGCATCTTCTCCCCAGATTTTTCCAAGTTTGAGGTTTTTGGTCATCTTGATTCATGCCGGCACCGAGGTGTGTCAAGAATGTTTGCTGAGATGTGCATTTTCAAGGAGGAAGGTAATAAGCCTTTACTGCAGAAGAGACATGGTGGTGTATTTCTAAAAAATAACAGCAATTTGCCATCCAGTGAAAATGCTTGTACACTCATCCTGTTCAAATTGCAAAGAAACCCCCAAAATCTATCAGGCAATTTCCTATGCTGGACGAATGTTTGTCATTCATTTTACAGCTGTGTTAAACCCAAACCCATGAATGTGATATATTGCAAATTGCCAACGTGGTGGATACTTCCGTTTTCTTTTATTTGGCTTTTTCCCTTTGATCTGGTCACTAACACACCCTCCGATATTAGTATGACACCACTTTGGATGAATGAGCACACAGGAGGCCCAGCGCACAGCAGCATTTTCAGTGTGTGGAGGTGGCAGATTTAAAAACAGTAACTAATGTAAACCAAACTCCAGACCACACTTTGTAATCAGTTACAGTAAACATATTTAGTTTTACATGAATAAATAAAAGCTGCACATTGTTAACCACTCCTGCCAGTGTTAAACGGTCTGTCTCAGCCATGTAAGCTGATACATTTTGCTGCAGAGCTTGAACTTTTGAAAAACAGACTTGCTGGCTGGATCAATAGATGAAAATAGAAGAAAGAATGTCTAAATAAGAAAATTAATACAGCCATTACATCTAAGAATTGGTAAGCTGCAAAATAATAAATGTTTGCTTTCGGGTTTAATCGTGCTTTAAATAGAGAATTGTGTCCTGTCTTCACACAAGATGTCTTCTGAGACAGACCTACTTGCCATCTTAGCATGCCAGGTAGCATTTACATATTAAAGCGTTACTAAACCCACAATAGTCAGTCTGTATATGCAGTAAAACATGCTTTTTATACTCACTGGAACCTAAGGGGTTAATCCTCCGTGTTGTGTAAAAAAGGATGTTTGATCCTGTCTTCTCTGATCCTCTCTCTCTTCTACTATCCCCAATCCATCTGCTGATAGAACAGAGCCTTGGGGGCAAGCTGCACATGCTCAGTTTGGTGTTTATTGCTAGAGAGTTTTTTTTCTTGAGAAAGTGCATGTGATCAGCACAGGGCCAATCAGTGCTGTCCAGAAAGAGGGTAAGGGGTTATGCAGCCTCATAGGACAAGATTTAACCAGTGCTCTGCTGGCCACTGATATAAGTCACAAGACAAGATCTAAGAGCTAATGAAAAAAAGTGTTTAGCAGTTTATATTTACTAAAATAATTGTATTTCCATGTTCTGTGTACTGTGGGAGACCAGATATAGTTGATACAGGGTCCTGGGTTTAGTAACACTTTAATAGCATTTCCCCTTATATATTTTGTTTGAATTGTATTTTGTTTGTCTGGGTCGTTCTTTAATTTGCATTAATTTCATTCCTGTGTACTGAATTTAAAGTGTGACTAAACCCAAGAACAAAAATGTAATATATTGCAGTTTAGCTTTTCTTCGATGTGAAGGCTGAATTCGAGTTCTTTTCTTCAGTACATTTAAATACATTTTCTGTAAGTATACTGTTTTGAATCCTTAAACAATGTTATCAGCTTTCAAAGCGTTCTTTTGTGAACTGCAGAACACCTACTACCTAATTAATGAAGAGGGGAAGGTATTTTGTAGTTCAAATCAGTGAGTGATCTGACTAGGGGTGACAATGCTGCTCCTCCATGGAAATGAGACTTGACACCCAAGGGATGGACATGTATTACTGGCAGGATTACCAAGTGAAAATATAGAAGAAAAAAAACCTTAAAGGAAAACTAAATAATCATTAGTGCTGACACTGTACAGGTTAAAAAGAAGGAAACACTGGCAATACACTGTAAAATAGACATAAAACAAGAAGTGGCACTCCCTGCACCATTAGTGTTGTGCCATAAAGTCATAGATGCTTCACAGGGCCTTTGAAGTAACTCCAGCCTCTTTAGTGTGATGTGAAATTAGATATGTCAGCTGTTTAAGCTGTCTGTGAAAGTACAAACTGTAGTAGTTCTCCTGAATCCATTCAATCACATCCAACCTGGAGTCTGGCCGGAGGAAGAGAATAAAGAACACAGCCACCGATCACTAACTTGTTTTCACATAGACCACATGGTGATTAGTACAGATAAAGGACTGGCTGCTGTCAAGGGCAGCGCTGGTCTATATGGCTCATGGCAATCTCTGAACAAAAAGATGACAAACAAAATCACAATAACGCCATTTATGTGACACCAGTAATTCAATTCTGACAGAGGTTCTAACTCTTCATCACTCTATCAGTAAATGTGTTTGCTTTGCTGCCTGTGTCCCCACTGAGTGATTTCCCTTACTTTTGTCTGATATCCCTCAATAGTACAAGGAGAAGCAAAGTATTCCCATAATTCCCATTAGGCCAGTAAGAAAGTAATATAGCAAAAAGATACACAGGCAACTCATTACAGGTGTTCTAACACTTCCACATTCATAAACAAAAAAAAAGTTTGGCTTGAGTTGGGTTTTAGCCACTTGCCCTCCAAAAGATTTACCCCCCTTCCTGACCAGGCCATTTTTTGCGATACGGCGCTGCGTTAATTTAACTGGTAATTACCCGGTCATGCAGCGCTGTACATAAATGAAATTTATGTCATTTTCCCCCCAAAAATAGAGCTTTATTTATGTGGTATTTGATCCCCTGTGCGTTTTTTTTTTTTATAAACAAAAAAAGACTGACAATTTTGAGAAAAAAATATTTTTGACTTTTTGCTATAAAACATATCCAATAAAAAAAATTAGAAAATCGAATTTCTTCATAAATTTAGGCCAAAATGTATTCTGCTTACATGTCTTTGCAAAAAAATACCAATAATTGTATATTAATTGGTTTACGTGAAAGTTATAGCATCTACAAATGGTGGTATACAGTATATACTGGAATTTTAATTTTTATTCTTTTTATACTAGTAATGGTGGTGATCAACAGCTTACTGCGGGACTGAAGCGGCCATTCTGACACTGGGGGGGGAAACTGACTACCTGCCACTGACATCCCCAGTGACATTAATACAGTGAGCAGTGCTAATAAAAAGCACTGACACTGTACTAATGACACTGGGCAGAAAGGGGTTAACATCTGGGGTGATCAAAAGGTTAACTGTGTGCGGTGTGTGTTTTACTATGTGTGCTGTGTGCTGTTTTACTTGGGAGACATGCTGCTTTGTATTTCTCTGCTGTGTAGAGAAATACAAAGCAACATGTCCATGCTGACAGGAGACAGACCTGTGTTTACACACAGGTCTCTCCCCTGTCAGCTTTGCTGACGATCACCAAGTGCCAGCCGGGAATCGCTGGCCGGGACCCGGTGATTGACATCCCCAGCCACCAATAGCAGCACAGGTTGGGTGGCACTTGCATGCCCCTACCCGGAACTGCAAATCACGTATATATACGTGATTATGCACAGCTGTGCCACCCTCTAACAGTACTTCTGTTATAGGGCGGATGGCAAGTGGTTAATGGGCAGCACAGTGGCTAAATGGTTAGCACTTCCGCCTGGCAGTACTAGGGTCGTCGGTTCGAATCCCAACCACGGCACCACCTGCCTAGAGTTTGCATGTTCTCCCTGTGCCTGCATGGGTACTCCGGTTTCCTCCCACACTCCAAAGACATGCTGGGAGGTGAATTGGATTATGTCTAAATTGTCCCTAGTATGTGTATGTATGAATGTGAGTTAGGAACCTTAGATTGTACACCCCTTGAGGGTTAGGGACTGATGTGAATGTACAATATATATATGTAAAGCGCTGCGTAAATTGACGGTGCTATATAAGTACCTGAAATAAATAAATAAAAAATAAATAAAGAGTCTGTCCATCCAAAAGTGACATTTCACTTGGAGAAGTCAGTAGTTATTGACATTGTTTCCATCACCCTAAATTCTTTATGGGCCCGTTCAGACCATTGTGTTGCAGTAATGTGAAAAACACCAAGTTATAAGCAATGGTACATTGCGATTCCAATACTGTGCATTGTGGTGGGCTGTGTTGGGAAAAAAAGGTGCAGGTGCAAGGTTTATTGTATGCTCTGGTGTATTGTCAGCCCATTTAAGTGAACTCAATGCTGTGGAGCAGGCAGGTGTAAAGACAGCCTGACACACACTCCATTGAGTTCTCAATCTATATAATTAAAATTTCAATAGGGAGAGTGAAGCCCCCTGTAAATGCTACAAAAGGTGAACTGACCTGGGAATACAAGCATGTAGAGCTCACCACCAGAGCTTCTGCCACACATATGAAATCAGTAGGTGATTTAAGGGATAAGATCACCTTTGGTAACATCTTACATGTTACACCCATATTCAGGGTGTAGCTTGTAACATGTGAGTGGACCACCCCCTGCACCCCACTCCTCATTGTGACAGTTAATGGGGGATCTTCTCCTCCCCACTAGCTGTGACAATTTAAAAAAAACCGTGGCCGGGCAGGTGGAGCCCGGTTCTGTGAATGAATTACCTAAAAGTCCAGACAGCCATAGTGGCTGTCGTCTTTTCATTCTCAAAAAACTACCACAACTTTGTGGAGCGCCATTGTAGTTCATTGATTCTTCCTGTCAGTATATCTACTTGTTCGTACATCCTGTACAGGCAAGCAGATATAATGACAGGTCTGCAGGAGACCTTCATGGCACCAGCGAGGTGGGCTCCAGAAAACAAAAAAATAATAAAACATTATTAAAAAACATTTTTTACCTGCAAAAAATGCTCATTTATTATTTTTTTGCACAAATGTGAACTTATCCTTTAACTTTCCTTATTTTCCCCAAATTGGTACATCAGTTTAGGCTGGCTGTATTGTATAGATGGGAGTAAAGACTGCAGAGGTCAGAAATAGATAATGTACAAAGTGCAGTGGACAGGAGTATGACTTGTACAGTCTAGCATATAGAGTGCGTTGATCAGGAGTATATACAGTAACTAAGACTTCCTTCACACTGAATGTGGGGTGTACCTCCCATCTGAAAAGTGATATGTGATGCTTGGTTTATAGAGGTAGTTTGCAGGAATTCAGGAAGTGAGGAGGTGATACTGCTTCCTCTAGAATGCCTGTTAATTTTTCCCCAATCCCAAGAGGGAAATTGTATTGCAATACCTTACTTCAACTGTGTGCCAAATGAATGACGTGTGGTTGTGTTGTGGTCCCCTTAACTTTAATGGGCATGTTTTGCCAAGCTGCACCACATGCCAAATGTGACTTGCTGAGATATAGTATATGTGAACCATTACCTTGTAAAACAACTCATTCAGTCCTTTTTTTTTATAGGTGATCACATAATATCTGTTCTCGGATGCATACAGGATGTAAGAGGTGAGTGGTGGAGAAGCAGTACACTGATCTTCCCTGTGAATAGCTCTGCGGGGTGGGGGGGGGGGGGTGCCAGTACAAGTCTGATCATTGGAGCACAGGCAGGCTGTATTCCCAGAACAGACAGAAAACTGACCACACTGGGATGAATGAGCTTCTATGCCTAGCGTGGTCAATTTGAAATAGGAAAGCAGGGGAACTGGCAGGAACACCAGGTGTTTCACATAAATGAAGCAATACAAAGAGAACAGGATACTTTTTCATACAAGTACATGGTACAGCAGGCACATATAAGGAATATAAAATGTTGGGGTACATATTCTTTAAGCTTGCCGCACTGTGAAACAAAGCATCACAACCATGATGTGTACAGATATGAGCGGCCATCATATTACTTTGCATCTAGTCAGTCGGGGCAGTAAAAAAATTAGATCAACTTCCCGTTTTACCCACCCACATTTGCTACCCATGTGAACCCAGCCATGCAGGCCAGAGTACAGAGTGCAGTGGCCATAAGTATGTAACATACAGCAGTAAGTACTATATTTTTTAGGCACACCATAGAGTTTGGCACTCAAGTGTACAGTAACATTAGTTTATTGTGACCATTGTACTCTGTATAATGTGTTGTATTTTGCATACTCTTGACCAGAGCACTCTGTATGCTGTTCCCAAAATTTCTCCCACTGAAAACCCTTTCCACAAGCAAACAACCCAGTGCAAATCTTCCCTTTGAGCATACGTACATCGTCTCCAATAGCAGAAATCCCCCCCCCCACCCTCCAATAAAGATCTTCTCCAGTAAACCCCACCTCATCACTGAAGTAAACCCCCAGAACAAAACTCCCCTCTACAAGCAAAAATCCTCCCTTCCCCAAAAGAAAATCAATCCACCCTAAGGCTACTAGCTACTGATCACCTCTGCACACTTAATGCATTGCTTATTCCTGCATCCTTCTTCCAAAACTTCTCATGTCTCCATCCCCTGCAGTCCTCTTCCAAAACTTCTCATGTCTCCATCCCCTGCAGTCCTCTTCCAACACACTGCTCATCTTTTCACCCCTTGCAGTCCTCTTCCAACACTGCTCATCTTTTCACCCCTTGCAGTCCTCTTCCAACACTGCTCATCTTTTCACCCCTTGCAGTCCTCTTCCAACACTGTTCACCACTGCAAGCCCAGTGGCTTGCATTCCCTGTAACCATTTTCCAACACTGCTCACCAATGTCCTGCACCCCCTGCAACCCTTTTCCAGTGCGGCTCACTTCTGGCCGGCACCCTGTAACCCTCTTTCTGCACTGCTCACTAATAGCCTGCTCCTCCTGCAACCCTCTTCCTGCACTGCTCACTATTGCCTGCACCCCCTGCAGCCCTCTTCTACTCACCACTGACCTGCACATGTACAGTAATTCAAAATGGCATTAATTGCGGTGAATGAGGTAATCCCTGATTATTTGGAGGCAGGGTCTGGGCAGAACCAACCTGTAAAATGGGCATGGTGGATTGTCCCTGCATATTAAGAGGTGGGGTCTGGGTGTGATTTGGGTGCACTACCTGGAAAGTGGGTGGATACAATGCAGGCCATGGCCAAGGTTAACAGTGTCTCAGGATGTGGGACCATAATTTTGGTAAGTATGTCTCCCTTTTCCAACACTGTCACCACTGGCCTGAGCACACTCTAAAGGAGGCCATATATTTCTTTCCTGCATTCACAGAATTCAGAATAGAAAATCGCTTGATTCCCCCATCACCACAGCCAATGTTGATGGGGGTATTCCTCCCGCTGAGCTATTGTGAGCCGTCCCTGCCGGAGAACACAATGATTACTGCTAACAGCTATAGCCGCTGGCAATAATTGCATGCTAAAATTTCAACATGCTGGTTGTACCCAGTTGATCGATGGATCTATGGGCAGGTTGATTACATCCAAGTCAATCCATTAATCGGCTTGGGTACAATCAGTCTGCCCATAGTTGGATCAAATCTCCCTGCTGAACTGGTCAAGATTTGATTCACCTCTAGCTGGCTTAACCCCCTTCAACACTGCTTGTCGCTGACCTACAGCCCTTGCATTCCTTTCAACTTTTCTCACTACTGGCCTGCAGCCCTCTTCCAACATTTCTTATCACTACACATCTGAAGACCTCTGAAGTCTTCTATCCTACAGCTTGCTTGAAAAAGTGGTGACCAGTGAATTTAAAAAATGGTGGGCAATCGTGGCCTTGGGACCTGGGGCACCAAGTAAGAGATGTGGAGCATGATCTTCAGTGCTCAGCACTAGCGACGCTCATGGTTTATACACTTTGTAGGTTGGAAATTGATAACTAAAAACTATTCATTACATATTTTTTTGAAAGCTTCCTCACTTTGCAGCATTTTTGTACAAGTGTTATTTATTGTATATAGTTCCTATAAGTGTTGTAGATACTTTTAAAAGTGTTATACAGCTCTTAAAACTGTTTTATATTAAACTTTATATTATTGATGCAAAACTCTACAACTTCTCTGAAAGCTTATTTAACACAAACATGGAAAGCCAAACAAAGCTTCAGTTTTGAGCACTCTCAGAATACTCGAGGGCAAATGCTTGTGACAGAAGGCTAGGAGCCATATTTGCTAAGCAGCTTTAAATCGTAAGACTCACTCTATGTCTCCATAAATCACCTTATAGTTCACTCAAGTGAATGGAATGTGACTAAGGATTTTTTTTTTTTGGTACAGCAGACACTTGGCAAACAAATACAAAATGAAAAAAATTCAAAGTGTAAATTTATGAATGAGTCCCACTTTCCTTCTAGCAGAGTTAGCAACAGTTAGTGTGTTGAAAAAAGTGAATAAAGCTCAAAATCCTTCTAATAGCTTTTATTTCCATACACACAAATGCACTGGGAACACTACACATTCTATTCTAAATCAAAACAAGAAAAATATATCAAATTTGTGTTGTTCCTCTAAAAGAATTGAAGAAAAGTGAATATTAGACTGTTCAAAAAAAAAAAAAAATA